ATTGAACCGCGGTCCCTGATGCTTTGCCAAGCTTGTTCTAAGTAGGTGCCTTAGACCACTGAGCCATCTCTCCAGCCCCTGCACCCTCATTTTAAGGTAACTGTAAAAGTAAAAAAAGTTTACTTATACTAGTTGTGAGTGCTTTTTTTTTTTTGTGCTTTGCACTGTACATTTATGTCAAAGGTGTGTAAGACTCACTCTGGCAAAAAAAAAAAAAAAAAAAAAATATAATGAAAAAATTACTAAGCATTTCTAAAGAAGACAAAAAAAAAAAAAAAAAAAAAAAAAAAAGACTCACTCTGGCGGACTTAGGAGTGAATAGACTTATGAATATCCTCCCAGAACAGAACTTGCTCATAAGTTGGGAATTTGTGTAGACAGTTTTTGTGTTGTGTTTTGTTTTGTTTTGTTTTTTTTTTGAGACACTGTCTTGCTATGCAGTTCTGATTAGCCTCGAGCCCAGCAGGTAGCCCAAGCTGGCCTCAAATTTGCAGTGAAGTGCTGGAATTACAGCCATGTGTCACCATGCCCAGATGAAGAGTTCTCTTTGTCTTAAGTCCATTCCAAGTTCTACAGCTTTCCCCCGCCCCCCCAAAGAGTAGGAAAGACTTATTGGGGAAGAGGAATAGCTCCTGAGAGACATGAGGGTCCCAAGTGGGTGGCTCCATTACAGGTTTATAAACGAGGCCAACCTCCGCTACACACTGCAGAATGTCCCCTATAAAAGAACTGAGACTAAGACAGGTCAGAGTGAAGTAGCAACTGCAGGAATATGGACACCAAAATATGACTCCAAAAATGTTGGTGAAATACTTTCAAGTATCTCTCAGAACAGTCCTGGGTATGTCCTTTCCTGTTCAGGAGGATGAGATCAATGCCTAGTCAGTTTACAAATGGTCTAGCAACTGAAGCTGGTGAACATGAGACCAATCAAGTCTTTGGAGAATGTTAGTTCCTGGGTTCCCACTAAGAAAACTATTGCTGGACTGGGGATATAGCTCAGTGGCACAGCACCTGCCTGGCACACAGAAGATCCTGAGTTTGATTCCTGGTATCAAAAACCAAAAACCAAAAAACAACCCAGCTACTGCTGATGTTTTCTTTTTTTGGTAGAACCGGGGATTGAACTCAGGACCTTTGCTTGCCAGGCAAGTGCTATATTCTACTGAGCTATCTCCCTGGCTCCTACTGACGTTTTCATGAATGATTTTGATAACTTTTTTATGTCCTAGATCACAGAGTAACCACTGAGAGAACTATTAGATCAGGAAAATAAAATCTTGTATAAATATCTTAATACTAAATTCATTAAGCTGGATGTGGTGAAGCATGCTTGGGAGGCTGAGGCAGGAGGATTACCAAGGGTTTTTTTCCTTGGTACTAGGAACTGAACTCAGGACTTTGCTCTTGCCAGGCTGGTGCTTCTCAAAATTCTCAAAATCATTCATGAAAACATCAGCAATAGCTGTTTTTTTTTTTTTTTTTTTTTTTTTTTTTTTTTTGTGCCACTGAGCTGTATCCCTGGCCATTACAAAGACTTTGAGACCGGATTGGGCTACACAGTGAGTTTAAGGCCTGTCTCCTATACTACAAAGTGAAATGCTGTTTCAAAGTACCAGGAGAGGGAGAGAGGGAGAGAGAAAGGGAGAGAGGGAGGGAGGGAGAGACAGAGAGAGAGAGAGTGACAGAGAGAGACAGACAGACAGAATGAGAGAGAATCATGAGATTAATATGTTACCTTTGCCCCTACAAGGACAAGAGCTTCTGAAAGTGGTGGCCATTAGCTTCCAGACATTTATTAGTACAGCAAACTGCCAAAGTGTGTATACATTTTCTTGGTGAACTCTATTTTTCTCATGGTGCTCAGGAATGAGCCTTAAGGTTCTATGCATTAGGTAAGCACTCTACCACTGAGCCACACCCCCAACCCAAGAGAACTATACTTCTGAAACCATTTCAGAACAACTGAGATAATCCCTCTTTTGCTTCCATTTCACACTTCTGTGAATGCCTCAAACCTCCTGCTGTAGTTTCCATGGCAGCAGGTCTCCCTACAGCTTCACATATTGGCTCCCAGTGAAACAAGACTGAGGGAAACACCTAATCAGCACACTTTGGGTCAGAAGGAAGAAAACCATTCCTGTCAGCTACAGGAGTCTGTGGGCACCAGGACTCAGTAGAACGAGCTCTAGAGAACATCCACCTGTCCGGAGCTGCGTGTTCACATGAGTGCTCTGGGCTGCCATGAGGTACACAGCGAAGCAGCAGTAGCGACAATGACTGAAGGGAGCTTTCAGGCCCATTTTCCTGGTACCCTATCCCTTGTAAATGAAAAATTCAGTCATATAAGAATGTATGCAGAATACAAACCCCAAATATTTGCATAGCTACCAATTCCATTTTGTCAAATCTTTAGTTGCTTTAGATTAAAAAACTATGAATAAGTTTTTAAATACTATACTCTACATTATCTGTCTGTAATGCCTTTTTGTGGGGGAGTATGTGTTACACACTGGTTTTCATATTTCTTTTTTTCAGCACTAAGAGTTGAATCAGGATTGCACATGAGAAGCAAGTGGTCTTCCACTGAGCACCATCCCAGCTCTCATTCATTCACTTTTTTTTTTGTCTTTTTGAGACAGGGTCTTACTATGCAGTTTAGGCTGGCCTTGAGCTCACTTTGTAGCCCAGGCTGGTCTTGAACTCTCAATGATCCTCCTGCCTCAACCTCCTGAGTGCTGGGATTACAGGTGTGTACTACCACACCTGGCTTTTAACTTCAATATAATATTCTATTGTTTGTCTCATTCTATTTAGATAGGTCCACACACCAATTTTTCCACTTATTTTCTATTATAAACAAGGCTATATGTATATATATAAAAATCCCTGGACATGTCTCATTATACATGGGAGAATTACTGAAGGCAAGGATCAACACATTTTTTTCTGAAAAGAGTCAAAGAGTATTTCAGCCTTTGCAGGCCAGGCAGTCTCTGGGGCAACTATTCAGTTTAGTTCAGGTGAAAGCACCTATAATAAGTGAATTGGCAAGGTTATGTTTCAATAAAACCTTATTTATTTATTATTTTATTTTATTTTATTTTATTTGTGTGTGTGTGTGTGTGTGTGTGTGTGTGTGGCCAGCTCAGCCCACCAGGGGGCGGGGCTGGCTGGCATGTGGTGCTGGGGGATTGAACCGCGGTCCCTGTGATTTGCTAAGCTTGTTCTAAGTAGGTGCTTTAGACCACTGAGCCATCTCACCAGGCCCTCAATAAAACCTTATAAAAACAGGTGGGAAATAGGATGCGGCCCAGGGGTTATAATTTGCAGACCCTTCTCTAAAGTATGCATGCATGTGTACATATATGGAACTGCTTGATCAACTGCTTGGTCAAATTGTATTAGACAGTAATAAACTGACCTATTTTCAGTCCCACCTGCAGAGCAACAAAGCTTAACAGACTTTTTCATTGTCAGATTTAAGTATCTATTTGACAGGAGAGAAAGGCTCAACATTCTAAATTTCTATTTTCTTAATTTGCACATTTTTCTTGGTGAGGTTCAGGAATTGTCATATGTTTACTGATAGTTTGGTGTTTCTTTCTAAAAAATGGCTGTTTCAAAGCTTTTGCCTATTTTTTCTCTCTTCTTTTTCTTTAAGACAGGGTTTCACTACGTAGTTCTAGCTGGCCTAGAAGTCTTAGCAATCCTTCTCAGCCTATTTTTTAAATTTTTTTTTTTTATTTTAGAGAAGGATCTACAGGGTGATCAGGGTCTCACTACTAATCAGACTCGTAGTGATCTGCCTGTTTACAGCCTCCCAAGAGCACAGATTACAGGCATGCACCACCATGCCCAGTCTCAATTGCTGTCTCAGTGCACCCTGGGGGCGGGGCTGGCACAGCAGGCCTGGGGATTGAACCCCTGGCCCCTTTGCCTGCTTGCAGGTGCTTTAATCTGCTGAGCTATTTGGCTGGCCCTTCAGCCTAGTTTTTATCTATTTTTCAACAGGCAAAACTGGTTACTGTGCTGGTGAGATGGCTCAGTGGTCTAAAGAACCTACTTAGAACAAGCTTAGCAAATCACAGGGACCGCGGTTCAATCCCCCAGCACCACATGCCAGCCAGCCCCGCCCCCTGGTGGGCTGAGCTGGCCACAACACACACACACACACACACACACACACACACACACACACACAAATAAATAAATAAAATTAAAAAAAACAAACAAACTGGTTACTTGTAGGCTGGGGATGTAGCTCAGCAGTGCAGCACCTGCCTGGCAAACAAACACGAGACTCAGAGTTCAATTCTCAGTACCACAAACAAACTGATTATATGATGATTGGCAGAAGTTCTTTATAGTTTGTGTACATTAATTGTTTAATGTGTTGCAAATATCTTCCCCCAGTCTGTGGCTTAACTTGTTATTGTACATAAAATTAAAAGCTTCATGGAATCAAAATTATTTTTTGTTTTTAATAGTATTTTTTTTTGGCCTCATGTAAGATATCTGAGATCATAGAGACACTCCTGTATTTCCTTCTGAAAGTTTTGGTAGGTCTTTCCTCAGATACGGGATAACGTTTTCCTTTAGGTCTTTGTTCAAATGATACCTGTCCATGGAGTCCTTCCCTAACTCCTATTTAAAACATGGCGACCTAAGAGCTGAGGATGTAGCTCAGTGGTCGAGTGTTTGCCTAGCAAGTGCAAGGCACTGGATCTGATCCTCAGAACTGCAACAAACCAAGAGCAACACGACTCTAAACTGTCTCCTGAATTTTATCCATACAACCTGTTTCCATGTGACATGTTTTGTTTATTGTTTCCTCTCACTATGGGAACCCCCCCCCCACCCCACATATATCCTCAGTTCTTAGAATAATGCCTGGCACATAATAGTGGATCAGTAAGTGTTTGAAGGAGAAAGAAAGGAAGGAAAAACAGGGCTTACTCATGATCTCTGTGGATGTTGGAATATTAAAAAAATTAGATGCATTTTTTTTTTAATGGAGAAAACTGACCAATAGGCATGCAACAAATAAAAAAAAAATAATCACAGCTCATCTTTAAACCCAAAGGTCTTCTTCTCTTTTAAGGATGTAGAGACTATGAGCACAGCAGGAAGGGATGAAATAAGCAAGTAATACCTTATTCTCCTGTCCCTAACCACGTACAGCATGTAAGAAGTAAGAGCAGGACAGTCTGCTCCTCTCTAGACACAAAAGCTGGTCTACACAAACCTGGCATCAAGTACTTAATCCACCTAATTCCTTACTAAAAACTTGTCATTTCATATACTTATTATTAGACTTTAGGGGGTTAATAAAGAACCTTGATATACACAATCTAATTTGATTTTCACAACTTGCTTCATAGATTCTCATTTATATGTGAAAACAGGTTTAGGAAATGAGACATTTTGCTTATTAATTAAGAGCTAGTAAGTGGAAGTGCCATGGGGCTGGGGGCATAGCTCAGTGGCACAAGCAAGTGCAAGATCCTGAGTTCGATTCCCAGTACAAAAAAAAAGTGGGAGAGCCAAGAGGACTTGAATCTTGGTCCTTGATTTTTATTTTTAAAACTTGTGCAAAATAAGCATTATAGCCAGGTGCAGTGGCACATGCCAGTTGTCCCAGCTCCTTGAGAGACTAAGGCAGAGGATTTCTTTTCTTCTTTTTTTTAAATTTTTTCTGGCGGAACCAGGGATTGAACTCAGGCCCTTGGGCTTGCCAGGCAAGTGCTTATTCTACTGAGCTATCTCCCCAGCCCAGAAGGATTTCTTTAGTCAAGGAGTTTAGAGCTAGCCTGGACAACACAGAGACTTATACAGGTCTATAACAGGGGCTGGGGAGATAGCTCAGTAGAATAAATGCTTGCCTGGCAAGCAAAAGGTCCTGAGTTCAATCCCCAATACTGTAAAAAAAAAAAAAAAAAAAAAAAAAGGAAGTACAGCATGAAATTCACTAATTTAACATTCAAACTAAAAACCAAACAAACAAAAACATCATGGTTAAAAAGTGCATAATGTAGGGCCAGGCAAGTGCAGGGTCCCAAGTTCAATCCCCAGTACCAAAAAAACAAAACCCAAAAAGTACACAATGTAAAATTTATTATCTCATTTTTCAAATAAAGAGGTTGTTCTGGTTTGTGTCTAGATGCTCTCCAAAGCCTCATGCAGTCATGAGGCAGGCTTTTAGTTTTTGACTGATTCATGGTCTAATGCTGGGATTATGGGTATGAGTATAACATCAACCCTATGCCCAGCTGCCTGAATAAAAAATAAGGGAAAGAAAAGGGCTTGCACCTGGCTCCTCCCTTTTTTGTTCTTGCTGTCTTCTGCAGCGATAAACAACTGCCATCCATCATATGCCACTCTGCCTTGGAGCCAGTTGAATATGGACTGAAACTTCCATACACTGTGAGCTAATAAACTTTTCCTTTCTTAATTTTGGGTGTCAGGTAATTGTCCCAGCAACAAAAAAAGTAACCAGGGGCTGGTGAGATGGCTCAGTGGTCTAAAGCACCTACTTAGAACAAGCAAAGCTAAGCAGGGACCA